TTTTGATTTTGAATTCTTTTGCAAAAAATAGAAAACTCCAAAGCATCATTTTTATGTTTAAGAAAAATTACCCATATAAATCTAGAAAAATCATCAACAAGAACAAATGCATATCTACTTCCATTTAAAGAGGCTAAGAAGGACCAAAAAGATCTATGTGAATTAATTCTAATGGTCTACTTGTAGATATTGCATTTTTAGATTTGAAAGATGATTTGTGCATTTTTCCTTGTTGACATGCATCACAAAAATTGTTTTTAAAAGACATCTTAGGTAAACCATTTACTAAATCATTTTTAGAAATCTTAGACATGTGTTTAAAGTTAACATGTCCAAAACGTTTATGCCATAAAATAGAATCATTAGATGATGCAATAAGACAATGTTCATTTGAAATATTTTTCATAGATAAAACATATATGTTATTCTTTCTATGACCTTTAAAAATAATAGTAATTAAATCAATATCATAAATTAAGCAAGATTCTTTTTCAAAAATAATTTTAAAACCTTTATCACAAATTTGACTAATACTAAGTAAATTACGTTTAAGACCATCAACTAATAGAACATTATCAATGATAGGTTTATTTGGATTACCGACAGATCCAATACCAATAAATTTTCCTTTGTTGTTATCTTCAAAAATAACGGTACCACCATCCTTGTTTTGAAAAGATGACAACAATTATATGTTTCCAGTCATATGTTTGGAACAACCACTATCCAAAATCCACCTATCTTTCTTGGATACCTGAAATAATAAACATTTATATTTTTGGTACTCATACTATGTTGGGTCCTTTAAATTAGCCTTTAGGAAACCAAACCCATGAAGAGTTTTTTAAATTAGCCTTTAGGAAACCAAACCCATGAAGAGTTTGATTTGCCTAAATAGTTAGTTGATAAACAAATAATGAAGAGTTTGATTTGCCTAAATAGTTAGTTGATAAACAAATATTTTTAATAAAATCAGAAATATAAAAGTTCTTATGTAAAGAAGATAATTCTTTTGGAACCCAAATAGAGAAGAATTTTGATTTCTTTTTACACAAATTTTCATTTCTATATTCATACAGATCATAAGAAGGTTTTACAAAAGTTGTTTTCTTTGATTTATTTTTATTAAAATTAAATCCTAATCCTTTTGTCTTTTGTGATTCTTTTTGAAAAGAAAGTATATTATTAAGACTTTCTTTACCTTTATTGAATTTGCTTACATTCAAACATATATCCTCATATTTTGATTTAAAAGAAGAAATATATTTAGCTAAACTATTAATGCGAATTTTTAAATCACTACATTCATTTTCTTTAAGCAAAGAATAGTTTTCTTCTTTCAATTCAATTACTTGAGAATTAGAAAAAGTAGAAGAATTTAAATCAGGAATTTCTTCAAGTAATCTTTTATTTTCACCTTTAAGAAAATTATGTGAAGTTTTTAATCTCACAAAAGTTTCATATAATTCATTGAAAGCATCTAAAAGTTCTTCATTGTCACTTACTTCTTCCTGTGCCATAAAACACGTGTGAGCACTTTTCTTTTCTTCAATTTCTTCATCTGAAGATGACTCATCACTATCATCCCAAGTGACTGCCATTGCTTTCCTTTTTTTGTTATTTTGAATGTTGTTGAAGTTGTTAAAATAACTTGATTTTTGCTTATTCTTCAACATTGGACAATCTTTCTTCATATGACCTGGTTTATTACACTTAAAACAAAGAGGGTTATTTGAAATAGAACTCTTAGATTTAAAATTACCTCGTTTTATAAATTTTCGAAATTTTCGTGCAAACATGCCCATTTCTTCATCATCATTATCTGAATCTTCTTTATCGGACATAGTATTGAATGCAAGAACTTTTTCGTTCTTTGATTCTTCATCATTCTTTCTATCTTCAATTTAAACTTCATATGCCATAAGATTTCCGATAAGATTTTTAACCGTAAGAGTTGACAAATCATTAGCTTCTTCGATAACGGTAACTTTCTTTTCCCATTGTGGAGTAAGTGATCGAAGTATTTTTCTTATCATCTCCACTTGTGTATATGTTTTTCCAAGACCAATGAGAGAATTTGTGATGTCGATGAATCTTGTGAACATTTCTCCAATAGTCTCATTTTCCTTCATCTTGAACAATTCAAATCTGTGCACAAGAACAGAACCCTCCCCAAGTTCATCAACTGATTTGACAATTGGAGGTACCACGAGAGAAACTAGCCTCGTATTGCTATGATTCTTGTATGTACAGGCTATCAGTCCACCCCGCGCGCTTAGAATCGGGCATAAAGTAGGAGGAAGAGCTGGCCTAAACATTCTGTAGGATCTGAAATAGATACACTAGAACGCTAAGGGGGGGGGTGAATAGTGTTCTATTATAATTTATGCAAAGTAGATTATAAATTGCAAAGAAAAATGGCAATCTCAGAAATTCACAATCACAAACACAAGGATTTATACTGGTTCCACCAATCCGGTGTATATTCAGTCCCCAAGCAAATCCCGCTTGAGAGTTTCCACTATGATTTTGAATAAACTTACAAAATCAAAAAAAACCTGACCAATTTGCAAGTCCCTGCAAATTCAACACCAATTTGACAAACACCTTGCCAATTTGCACACCAATCTCTAAACCAAGAGATTAACACCTCTCACAACTTGAGAGAACTTTTTGAAGCAACAATTTCAATTCCTATAAGCATTGATTTGTAGTGTAGTAGTGGTTTAGGAATGATTCTAACTTCTGTAAATTGCCTAAACAATAAGTATTTGAATGATGTTCAAAGGCAATTTCTGAAACTTTTCTTTTTCTCAAAATCTGAATATTTTCCACTTGAAAAAAATGCACAAAGATCAAAGCTTATGGGTATCTCAATGTATGCATTTTTTCTGAACAAATAACCTATTTATAGCCCTTGAAAAGACAAGTTTTTGAACTTTAAAAACGTTTAAAAACGGCTATAAATAGTCATATATTCAAACTTTGAATTCTGAAAAAACTGTATCTGTAGTCGACTACAAGACTGATTAGTCGACTACAATGAGATTAAACAGACTCTGTTCATTCAGAAAATTTTTCAGTAGTCAACTATAAAGTTCATTAGTCGACTATACTGTAATTTGACAGAAACTTAGAAAATAAATTTTGCCTTCAGTAGTCGACTATAATGACAAGTAGTCGACTATACTGTAAAACAACAGAAACTTATGTTTCTGTCATAAACTTGAGCAGTCGACTATTATCCATATTAGTCGACTATACTATAAAATTACAAAAACATATATTTAAGACATAAACATGAGTAGTCGACTACTATTCTAATTAGTCGACTACTAAGAGTTAGAAAATGATATAAGTTCAATGTTTTGACATTCTATTGTTAATTATAACTCTAATGGTTAACATAGGGGATTTCTATAGTTAACCAACACAATAAGCCTGTGTTAGTGTGTTCTAATTTATGTGTGTGTGTAAGTGATCAAGGCTTGTACAATAATTCTAAGTAAAGAAAATTTAAAATACATTATCTCATATGTTCTTCATCTTCTTCACTTCATAATGCCTTGAATCTCAACTTGCACTTGTTCATATTTTAATATTGAAAGCTGCATATAAGAGTTAGTGCATTTGTATAACACACATTGTATAAATTGTTATCATCAAAATACTATCATGGAGATAAGATATTCAACACACACAAGTTGTACAAATTGGGTAATGAAGGCAAAAGGTTGAAAGTGTTAAACTAAAGCAGCCATTCAAGATTTTTTTCGTTGGATTTCAATTCCTGTAAAGATAACATTCTACTGTAGGAACTACTTAGGACAATAGGTTAGCCGATTAAAACTGAAGTTGAAATGGCTAGTGGCTCGCTTACTAATGATGATTCACTCCCCTTCAACTAAAACTTCAGCTGGAAACTTCTGTCACACAATGCTTTAGAAACCCCTAGGCAGTAGGCACTTCTTGGCGCTGGACCATGTGCCTAGAGTCTAGGCACCTTGGGGGCGCTTAAGCGAAACCTAGTCCATTTAACATCAAGCGAGGAAGGATTCTTTTTGAATATGCGAAAATCATATTTTTGTCGTTTACCTAAGATGGACATGGATACACAGTTTCAATCTGGTCTATTTGACTTAGATCCTCTTCATTTGTTAGACCGTTACTATGCCTAAGTGAGCAGTATACCCTTTTTGATGCGGTGCAGTCCACATAAGCATCTCATATGCTCCTCTAGGCGCTTCCAAGACCAAGGAGGCCTAAGTACTGCTTAGGCCTAGGTGGGCACCTAGGCTGACGCGTAGACTGCTTTTTAAAAAACATTGTTGTCAGCTAACAATTAGGGTCTGAAAATATACAAACGCCGTGCAGAGAGAGAAGTTGTATTTCTAAAGGAGAAAATAACTGCATCTTTTATGCCCTTTTTACTTTAAATAAAGAAAGGTTATATGCGAAGCCCCAACGTTTGACCCCTTTTTAAGCTAGATATCCTAGAGTTCTATTTTGACTAATGCCCCAAAGTTCTCAACTTGACGTTAGTTTGACAATTTGAAACCCCCAAAGCCCTAAAATTGTTCCTTACTTTCCCCCAAATTCGACTTGACGTTAGTTTGACAATTTGAAACCCCCAAAGCCCTAAAATTGTTCCTTACTTTCCCCCAAATTCGAAAAGCTAAAATTTGGTAAGAAAATAACCCCCAAAGCCCTAAAATTGTTCCTTACTTTCCCCCAAATTCGAAAAGCTAAAATTTGGTAAGAAAATATGTTCCTCATTCACTGTTCCATTTAACATTCAAGAGTCGACATTTTGGCACTTCGGGGTATCAAATTGTAAAATAGAACTTCAAAGTAACCAAGTTAAAATGAGGTGAAACTTTGAGGTCTTAAAGTGCAAATAACCCAACAAAGAATAATAAGCATGTAATGGAAAAGATGACATTTGATTTCAATAAAGATAATAATGAAACATTCTAATGCTTAGAGGGTGGCATTAGAACCTGTTCCATCAGGTCTCTGATATCCTTGCTCTCTTTGTTGCTCCGTGCGGCACCTAACTCAACTCCCGATACCCTTTCAGCAAACTTCAAGTACTAAAAGTTTCTGAATATGATTTTACATCTGGGTTAATCTGTACGAACATAAGTGTTTTTGCTTGTCCACCTGTATAACACAGAAATGAAAAATGTAAAATAGATATGCAAGACAATATAAATAAACAGGTAAACACGATAAAGAGAAAACTAATATCTGACAGATTGCAACAAAACTAATACAGTACCTAAGGAACTTTGCAAGACTTGAGTAAGCTAGCTGTTCCTATATGGCACATGTGAACTTTTTTGCAACAAAACTAATACAGTAAGCTTGCTGTTCCTATATGGCACATAAGTGTTTTTGCTTGTCCACCTGTATAACACACAAATGAAAAATGTAAAATAGATATGCAAGACAATATAAATAAACAGGTAAACACGATAAAGAGAAAACTAATATCTGACAGATTGCAACAAAACTAATACAGTACCTAAGGAACTTTGCAAGACTTGAGTAAGCTTGCTGTTCCTATATGGCACATGTGAACTTTTTTGCGAAAGAGCAAATATCACATCTCCCAGAGCAGATAAAGACTTGTTGATATGTTGTGCTTCCCTGAGCCTATATCCAGTTACTTCAGAGCGGTCAACTCTCTCACTTACAGCAAGATCGACCAAATGAAGAGAACTGCGAAGTGTGGCTCCGGTCTTTAAATCAGCACCTCTCACATGAACAGTCACAATGTTGTAACATAAAATTTGGTCAAAGATGAACAAGAAATGATCTTCTGAGACGCACATATATATCATAAAGCAAACCTGTGTGACCGACTACTTCTTTCATTGAGAGCCTTGGCACCGACAGCCCTATTCGCCAATCCAATTTGCATCAATTCTAACACATCAGAGGTAGAGTTTACAAGATGTAAACTTGCATCAGGAACAGCAAGACCATTAGGCTGAGAGCTATTCATGACTCCAAGCGTGTTCAGGTTAAGGAGGGAAAAATGCTAAGGGAAAAAATCCATCAAGCTCTATCCATTTGTGAAATTGCATGATGCTAAACTAGAAGAAAATCATTATCAAAGTTTTACCATTGTATGGTACAAGTAATTTGGATAGAGCATATAAATAACTTGGGTCACTTTACATGAACAATTTTTTTATTAATCAGAGTAAGGAATCACGCAAGCACACACCACACACAGCACATGTATATGTACTGTGTCAGTGTATGTTTAATATACTGGGTAAGACTTTAAACTTCCCTGAGAACAACTAGAAGTCTATTTCCATTTACCAAAAAAAAATGGTGGGTCACCCTAATGGATGGTCAATACCGTTCACGTTGATCTAAAATATCATAAAATGTACATAAACAAAGCATATGCTCTGAAGATCTTCAACTAATTCATCCAGTGGTTGTAAAACTTATTTTAGCACAATTAGAATCATTGGATAAATTTGAAAAAAGCCCACATCATATATTTTATTTTCATTCATTTTATGACATGATAAACAACATAAGTAAAACACACACATACATACATGCATATGTATTAACTAGATGTCCATCCTGAGTGTTTTCGTCAGAACTTCATAATGGGCCATCATATAGATGATTCACACAGTTCCTCTTGTGCAATAAATCGAAATTAGCCTAAGAATGAGGGTCAAATTATTTAAGACGACCTTAAGTGTCATAATTAAGTTGCGAAAACACTTCGAAGTAGGAAGAACAACAACATTTTATGCATGGGTAAAAAGTTTTGAGATTTCTAGAATGCTAATTTTAAACTATTTTGGACGCACAGATTAATATGAAGAATACATCCCATACAAAGCAGACTTATGGAATTTCATAAATGCTACTCGAAGATAATTCTTATTGGGTCTGTGTTACTATGAGCTGGTCTAGTTCAAATAAAAAAATTTATTGAATTGGATTCAATTTCAAAAGTACTGTTAAATTTTGAATTAGAATATGACATTCTTCAGTCTTCATTTTGATTCAACTCAGTTCCACCCAAGTTAAAGGTCATATTCTGCGTCTCTCCTTTCTTCATGTTGACAAATTTCAGCAGTTTGAAAGTCATCACATTGACAAGGTTCAATTATTGTGTGCCTTTGTTTTAGTTTTGGTTGTCAAGGTCTCTCCTTGCTCTCCTTAAGTCTTAGTTTTTCCCCATCTTCTTCACATCGTAGTGCAGTTTTAACATATTCTGAGGTTCAGTTCCATGTTCTTCCATTCATCCTACATAACCTAAAGTCAAACCAACTTTTTATTATTATCCTTTAATCTATACCGGTTAAGAGGTCAAAGGGCGTTGTTGGCATCACCGTGAAATGATTCAAGGGCTTTTAGTTAATAATGGAACATTCTTCGCATTTAGGACGAATATTACCTAGAGGAACTCTATATAAGAGGAGCCTCTATTGTGAAGGCCTATATCTAATTATAAAATTCTTGAGGAAGGGGGTTGCGAGATGGCTAATATCCAAGTAAGACATTTGTCAAGATTTGCACCCTAAAACATCTTAAATAATTTAAATTATTGTTTAAGCTCTTAATATTTAAATACATTGATGATCTTATTCACAGTCATAAATGCACATCCTTATTATATAAGTGTGTTCCTTTGTAGGCTGGTCAAAATTGCTTAACATGTGAATTAAGTGTAAAATTTGTGCAAACAGATATCACAATATAGTAACTTTCACCGCCTCAATAGAACTTAAAAGCAGATTTAGTGGAATTGGGCATACATAGATGAAAGGATATTTCTTTTGTGATGCATCATTTACAAGGAGATCCTGTACTTTCTCATTATATATCTCAACCATCTGAACGCCAACTTCATACATGATAGAATTTCTCCTACTCCGTGAAATGTTAAAAAGGTCATTCAGCGCTCGGTAGTTGACACCCCAATCCTCTTTAGTTGACAAATTAGGTCCAGTCTAGAAAATTACAAGTAACAAGTTCAATATGAATAGAACAGTACAGAATTTGATCTATAGATATAATTAAAACACAAAGAATTACCATCGTGAGGTTTTCCCCGATCCAGTTTGACCATATGCAAAAATGCACACATTATACCCGTCTAGAACTGACCGTATTAAGGGCTGAATGTCTAGGAAAATTTCCTCTGCAATTGAATAATTAAATTGAACATGTCAATTAGAAATAGGTTAGTAGTACCAAAAGTCATGACCTATGAGTACAACTTCTAGGTATACAAACATAAAAATTTACAACACCTGATAAAGTAATAAGAAATATACATTTAACAGCCATAAAATAGAACCTTGAGTAGCAGCTGGACCAAAGACCCTGTTGAACTTGAATGAGTGATTACCATCCTTTCCCTGTTTGAAAGGATTTACCAAGAGAAGTTCACCTTTTTAAAATAATATAATTTTCTAAAAATAATATATATTTTAAATGATATATTATATTATTTTTAAAATATTATATTTCTTTTTAAAAAATATATTATTTTTTAAAATTATATTATTTTTTAAAATTATATTATTTTTTAAAAATATATTATTTTATAAAAATATATTACTTTTTAAAAAATATTATTTTTTAAAAATATTTTATGAGTTGCATATGTTAAGTTATAAGCATAATCAAACAACTGCAACTATAAGTTGCAAAATTTAAATTTTAAACCAAACAATTACAACTGTAGTTGCATGTAAGAAGAGTTGCAACGTCTCAGTTGCATGCAAGTGACACTTGCATTGCAACTCTAGTTGCAAACAACCAAACGCCACCTTAGTGGAATTGGGCATAGATGAAAGGATATTTCTTTTGTGATGCATCATTTACAAGGAGATCCTGTACTTTCTCATTATATATCTCAAGTTCTCAACCATCTGAACGCCAACTTCATACATGATAGAATTTCTCCTACTCCGTGAAATGTTAAAAAGGTCATTCAGCGCTCGGTAGTTGACACCCCAATCCTCTTTAGTTGACAAATTAGGTCCAGTCTAGAAAATTACAAGTAACAAGTTCAATATGAATAGAGCAGTACAGAATTTGATCTATAGATATAATTAAAACACAAAGAATTACCATCGTGAGGTTTTCCCCGATCCAGTTTGACCATATGCAAAAATGCACACATTATACCCGTCTAGAACTGACCGTATTAAGGGCTGAATGTCTAGGAAAATTTCCTCTGCAATTGAACAATTAAATTGAACATGTCAATTAGAAATAGGTTAGCAGTACCAAAAGTTATGACCTATGAGTACAACTTCTAGGTATACAAACATAAAAATTTACAACACCTGATAAAGTAATAAGAAATATACATTTAACAGCCATAAAATAGAACCTTGAGTAGCAGCTGGACCAAAGACCCTGTTGAACTTGAATGAGCGATTACCATCCTTTCCCTGTTTGAAAGGATTTACCAAGAGAAGTTCACCATTCTCACCAATATAATCTATTGTTGTTGATTTTCTGTTTTCTCCAGAAAGGAATGGTCTTATACGACAGTAAACTCGGATATTTCCTAATAAAAAAATTAAAGCAAACTGAATAAGGAAATAATATGAAAAGAACAAACAGGTTAAAAGAAAAAGCAACATTAAAATGCTAAAGGGGTACCTTTTAATTCTTGAACCTCATTAAATAGTTTACGGTTTTCAGCAAGAACTACATGATAGTTTTCAGCAGCATCAGTCAATACTTTCAGTTTTTTTCCTTCACAATGCACAAGTGGAAGACACCATATTAAAAAGGGAGTTACCTACATTTTCAGATGATAAAAGTGTTGCATAGACAGCCTTACCTAAGCTAGAAAACTCTTCTGTCCATCTCTGTTTTGTACTTAGAACCTCGTCTTTTATGGACTCGGAAGATGCCTTCAGATCCTGCAGTAGGTATCTAAGCTCATGATTTTTAAGTACCACAAAGAAACTGCAATATTATTGAGATTTTTCGATTCCTAGCTTCATTCTCGTCCATCGGTCTAAGCACGTCTTGTTCCCCAAGTTTCTTGCTCTCTTCAATTTTGCTTTTTTCTGTCTGTTGCCAGTGAGAAGAAAGAAACAAATCACATGGGATAGATAGTTACTACCAAATGAGTATGCTAAAGCTGAATATCTTGAATTATTGGAAAATCTAAAAATTATAGGAGCTAGCTAGCTGGTTCAAATAACCTGTTCTTCCAAAAAAGATAAAGACTTTTTTTTAATCACATGTATGCAAATTATTACAATGCTTAAATAATAAATACCTAAAGAAAAGGAAGGTAGAAGAACTTTTAAAGTTTAAACAACTTATAGATCTCTAACAGTTTAGCTTTCACCAAACAAGATCATATTCGGTAAAGATAGTTACAGTGGTATGATTATATCATCTACTTAAACAAAAAGAAAAAGAAAAATAAACACTAAAAGTGCAGGTGTACACAGAAAATAAATGTAAAATATGGACGTATTTCCTTCATATAACACAGATTAAAAAGGTTATTTAACCAGAAAAAGAAGAACTAAGAAAGGTGAAATGATAAATGAACCTTGATAAGCTACAAAAGGAAGAAAAGGAAAGGTAAAATGATAAAATGCACATGGTAAACAGAAAGCATTTCATATGGTGTGCTTCCTAAATGAATTAGAAATGCCAATTAAACATAAAAAGGTTAAAAGAAATGAAAAGGTAACAAGTATATCACTAGAATAGTACGTTCCAAAAGAGAAATGAACCTTGACATACTGGAGCTTGTCCATGATAATCTGAAAAGAAGCAAATATGTGTCAGAAGCAATGAAACCTCGGATACTAGAGAAGCTTTAATACCACAAGGGCCTCATGTCATCGACTATATCTAATAGTCCAAATGTACCTTCGCTTCTTCACTTGACCCGCTTGCTAGAGTTTCAAGTGCTCTGATCCTCGACTGGAACTTCCTTTCCCGTGCTTTAATGAGATTGTTTTGCTGTAAGAGGATGAAGAAATGATAAAAATAATTTTTAAGATAATAAACATGAAGAATTGTAACTTACTTTTCGTATATGTTCTGCCTGAGTTGAAATACGCCGCTCAATCTCTTGCACGACTTTTTTCAATAAGCATGCTACGCGCTGAAATAGAGGACATAATTGGCTCAAGATATAAACTATAGCCAGATAAAAGATGTAATATAGGTACAGAATCAGTGCACCAAAATCTATATGTCTTTGAGCATGAAAGCAACAGGATGTAAACTCTTAATAGCATACCTGAGGTATTTCTCCACTCTTCCTCTCAATACTTTCATCAAGAATCCCATTCATAACACTCAAAAGTGACTGTGTTGGGGCACTCTGCAGACAAGAGATGCAATTATGAGGATCTCTTCATGTAACGGTAATGTAAAAGGGAATAAAACTTGATGTAAGAGGAAGACCATGTATGGTAAGTGCATAAGCTTACTTCGAAACTATTTGACTTCATCATCTCTGAAATCTTTGATGCAGGAAGATCAGAATAGCGCCCTTGTTTTAGTTGGAAAACCTCATGAAACTTGTCGACAGCATTAGATGATAGAGGAGTCGTTGGCTCTAAAAAATAATTAAAAATGGTTAAATTAGATATGCACCTTCTTTTTTTCCTTTTTTTTAAGATCTTCATGAAACAACGAGGGAAATTCTTCCAAACCAACTGTAACATATGGGGCTGCGAGGTCTATATGACTTTTTCGTAACTTTAGCCTATTGCAAGAATGAAGAATCTTATTAACATAAACAAAAGACAAGATACCTAGATTAGAACAACTTCATGTTATTGCCAAAACACTAGTTAGGAGCCAAACTTATAAAATAACAAGAGGACAAATGTTACAAAACTAAGACTCAAGACACTGACAGGCATACCTAGGTCCAAAGAGGAAGAAAGAAGAATAGGGGAAAGAACCTGATAAGTGCTCATGCAAGAGGTTAGGATAAGTTCCCACAATCTGAGCTTCCTACGTTCATAGGTACTACAGTGAAAGTATACTAGAGAAGTTAAGAGAAATTTGTTTAGTCCCAAATTGGAAAACTACATAATTATATTATGTTTACTTTCCTATACATGACACCAACTATCCATATCTAGGATCAAGCCACTTCCCCAGCACAAAAATAGAAATCCCAAAATAACATATTAAGGACCTTGTTTCCAGAGGCACTTGAGTTTGTTTCCTAAACGATTTGCAATAGCAAATTGCACCGGAATAAAATTCATAAGCATTTTTGGCCAATAGGATGTAAAGGGATAGATAAATTACCAGACAACCTTTTGCCAAATCTCTAGTAAATGGATCTGGATTCTAGAGGATCCTTGATTCTTTTAATCATAGCACCACTGGTTCCTAAATGTGGAAGCCACAAGTTGTCCAAAGAAGTATGGCCTTTTTCTGTACTCTAGAAGAGCAAGTTGGGGAGTATCTTAGACTCTCAGCAAGATGGGTTTAGTGCAAAGAGGGTCAGGCTGTTCTTATCTGATAAGAAGCAGATAGAATAATTTTACAACACACTTCATTCAGGGGGTCACCTCAGGTTTCATGAAAGCATGATCTGCATTTTAAAGGAATTTTTACATGAAAAAAGAGTGGCCATGTTCTGGGATCAGTATAACAGAGTTCCGCAACAGTGGCTACTACAAGAACACAGTACATTTATCACAAGCAGTTCGAGAGATGAGGATGCAAAGAAGGATATGTTGAGCTTGTGTGGTATGGGTAGAACATGATATAGATAGACGGGTAAAACAAATCATAAAAAGTTAGAAAATGAATACATTGGCAGTGCAAAGTTGGCAGGCTAGGAAACTCACATATGTTGGTAGAATGCAACTTGTAAAGAGTGTCCTGGTTGGTGTACAAGTCTACTGGTCTAGTAACTTTGTATTAGCAAAGAGTGTTCTTAAACAAGTTGATGCTGTTTGCAGGAAGTTTATTTGGGGGAGTACACATGATTCATACAAAGTTCCACTTGTTGCTTGGTCTGGGAACTTTTTTTTTGCTATGAGATGGAGTGATGTAGCTACATTGAAGTGGCTATGGGCCATTAATGATAAAAAAGATCTACTATGGATCAAGTGGGTTCATGGCAATTATTTAAAAAGGCATGATATGTGCCATGTTCAAGCTAGAACTAGCGACTCCTGGGCATGGAAACAACTCCGGGAAGGAAATTGAGGAATACATGTTTGGCAAAATGGGTTTCTTATGAGAATATGCTTCTTAAGTTCAAACAATGGTCTTCTTCTGGGAAGTTCAAGATGGCTGAAGCTTATGGTGATATTGTTTTGTCATCTCCTATTGTACCATGGTATAGAATGGTTTGGAGTTCTCTTAATATGCCAAAGCATGCATTCATATTTTGGTTGATGATTCAAAGGAGACTGCTTACCCAAGACAGGCTCATGAAAATGGAGATTATATCAAGTAATTGCTGCTTATTATGTCGACTAGGTGTGGAAAGCCATGAACATTTTTCTACAGAAGTATGGTAGAATTCTATGAATTGGCTATGGTTTAAGTACAGGAGCTGTATGTGGCATCATATAAAGGAATTGTTTACAATCCACTTGAGGAGGGAAAGTTATATTAGTTTGGTGAGGAAGTGTGATTTGGCAGCTATAATTTATGCAATTCTGTTTGAGAGGAATGGACGATTACATTCAGGTGTATCAAGGAGTACTGAGGCTGTTGTTAAGTGGATTAAGACCTGCTCTATTGTGGCTGTCTATAGTAGTCTAGTCCCTATTGAATTTAAACGCTGGGTTGACTCTTCGTAATGGTTGCAAATCTTGGGGTTGTTTGGGTATTATGTTGTTCTGCTCCTCATGTTGAGGTGGTTTAGAGTGTATCAGGGTCTTGTAGAATCCTGGGAATGCCTGGGATGAAACTATGTACATAATGCTTACAGGCAATGAATAGAAATTGTTCATTTACCTTAAAAAATTACCTTGGCAGTGTCACACGAATAGATTATAATTCTGTGCTAACAATGTTATTGCCTATGGCATGGAGTTGTGGATATATGCTAAGTGACAGGCTGAGATATGAGTCCATTTGTAGGATTTTAAAGGTTACTCCTACTGAGGATAAAACAACAATATTGTTTTGCCCCTTGCAATGGAGGCCAAAAAATGCCCACTAATTAAATAGATGGAAGAGAACTTCCCTGGAAGCAACTGAGAAGAATATGATAATGGTTAACAAAGGAGAAAGCCCTAAAGGGACTAAACATAACTTAATTGAACAATAGGATTCAGTAGCTGCTGCTGCTGCTGCTGTGAAAGCCCTAAAGGGACTAAACATAACTTAATTGAACAATAAAATTCAGTAGCTGCTGCTGCTGCTGCTGTTGCTGTTGTTATAAGGATGCAGTAGCCAAAAAATAATAATTAAGATAACATAAAAATAAATCCGAGTTTTATAAGTTAGTAATTAACAACATAATCATAATTCTTCATTAAATAATTATGCAAGTCATATAAATGCTGCAATGCATTAACCAAACAAATGGATTTGTGCCAGTCTTTCATGCCCTGGAATCCTGGATTTTTAGCTTCGTATCTCAACAGATACATCTGGAACAAGTTCTCGATAGATCATAATTTTCCAATGTGCCAAGTCTAGTCAATATCTTATGAAAATAGGTAGAGAATCTAAATTTTCCTTCTGAATAACTAGATCCTATTAAATATAGGTATATAAACCTTTCCACTCTAGGAAACACATGGCATGCATACTACCAGTTTCATGAGTCACCATGAATATGCATTTCAAATGCTTCTATTTTAAATAAGTACAGTCATAGCTGAGGTAATAGTACTCAGCATCGAAAGTTGAAATTTCAACTGCCAGTCATTTTGATTCGTCTCATCTTCCACTCTACTAGAGTTTTGATCCCCATTAGTCTGCTCATCCTGTCGAATATCCACACCCTCCAAATTGTCAGCTTCTAGAGATCTCCAGCTATCTGATGGCCGGTTCCAAGATTTGACAAGTGATTTCTGAATCCCATCATTCCCATTGCTAGAGATTATGTGATCTCGGACTGAAAGAAGGCACATTACAACTGAAGACATGGATCCCTGAAACCAAACAAAGAATACAGTACTAAAACTGACTCAAACTCTGCAACTTCAAGTTATCTACGCATTTCACAACATATAAACAAGATAGGGAAAAAAAGTGAGTAAGAACCTTAAATTGACTCAAGCCATGCACCAAAGAATTTGTTAATGACAGATTACTTTAACATAGGCGAAGAAATCGTAGACTAGCTATACCTGCTCTAGGTCCAAAATTTTAAAACAGGGTAAACCCATTTGGTCCACAGCCGAAGCAAACCCTCTTATATAATCCGAGCGCTTCTCGGGCACAAATTCTCCACCTTGAATCTGTAAACCATCCAAATACCAAAATTCATCAACAGACCCCCCACATTTTTCCATAAACTTCATAACATCAAATCACCCTTAATTTCACCTCTCCTGAATAAGCCGGATTTATCCTCCCCAGAATGCCAAAAAACACAAATCCATCAAGCAAAAGTGCTCTTAATTCCTCATCAGATGCCTCCAGAGGTAAGTTAAAGTCGGGAAATAAATAGTTTAGCCACTCAACTACATCTGATCGCTTCTTAGCTGAACAATTACAAAAAAGAGCCATTTTTATCAAAAAAATTAAGATAAATTATGTACAATCTACACAAAAAAGAAGAAAACTGAGCCGAAAATCTAACCGGCTTCAGCTTCCACATCCACGCTTCCCATTGTTCTTTCTTCTGCCCTAGATTCTACCTCAACGCAGCATTTTTCCTACAAGTTTACATGGAAATCAAAAACCCTAGGGCACAGATCAGAACTTTGTGAGAAATTTTGTGAGATTTTACATCAAAAGGGGCGAAATCGGGGGAAATGCTGAAACCCTAGCCAAATGTAGAATCTTAGATCTCTTTCTCACTTCTCCGTGTCGTTTAATTCGTGGGTTAAAACTTCCCAACGGCCGGCCAAATAATAAAAGAAAGCGATGGCGGATCTCGAAAGCTAAAAGGGAGGAGATTTTATTTTGGGTTTTTTATTTCTAGGCCCATTTGTTTACTCATCTTTAGAGGTAATTATTCTTTGTATTTTTAAACCCAAGTTTCTTTTTGTTTTTGCCTTTAAACCCAATTTCTAAAATACTGTATATACAACACTGGTATTCATACCCAAACATGATAAAAACCCTAAAATACCCTTCAATACCCCCACTTAAACCAGACCCCCTCTCTCTCTCCTCATTTTCCTTCTTCCTCAGGTCTTCGTCTTCATCCTTCCTCAAGGCTTTGTCTTCCTCCTCCGATCCCACCTCTCATGCCCCCTCCAAGAAATCGAAGAAGAAAGGAAGAAAGGCCCATGATTTTAGTGCTTGATGTCTTGAAAAGGCCCACGACGGATCTCGAGGCAGCCGGACACCCCTCCACCCTCTCCAACGAGACACTACAATTCTTCAACGATCAACAAGATGCTTGATGATTTTGGCTTCGGGATCTCTTTCGATGACGAGGAGGAGTGATTTCGTGTGAAATCTCATTTCTATATACTCGATTAGGGTTAGGGTCAGGGTCGGGGTCGGGGTTGGGGGGTTAGGGTTAGTTCATTGATGTTCTTTTGTGCTATCCCTTTTTGTTGAACTAAATCTAATTGTAGAATTGGTTTTATCAATTTATGAATGTATCGTTTCTGTTGAACTAAATCTAATTTGTACACAATAGATTTGCAAAGCAAGAGGTGTGAAATCTGAAGAATCTGGAATTTTGTACCTGTAAATTTTGCTTATAAAGAGTTGGAGAGTATGGAGCTTGCTTTGAAGATTGTGAAAGAGAAATTGCTGGGTAGAGTTAATGGAGTCAGTTATGCTATATGTACATTTTGAAGATTTGTGCAATTTTGAAGATTTGTAACATTTTGTAAAGTCTGGAGCTTGCCTTGAATATAATATCAGTTATATTATGTACATTTTGAAGATTTGTAACATTTTTGAAAGCCTGGAGCTTGCCTTGAATATATGATCAGTTATGCTATGTTTTTTGTGAAGATTTGTAACATTTTAAAAAGTCTAGAGCTTGCCTTGAATATATGATTAGTTATGCTAAGTATATTTTGAAGATTTGTGTAATTTTGGAGTTTGATTTGTAACATATTGTTTCAGATTGTAAGTTTTTGAAAGTAGATAATGAAAGTGTTGTTAGTGCAATATCGTTATTGTTTGTGCAATTTTGGAGTTTGTAAGACTGGAATTTTGTGCAATTTTGTGAGTGCTATTTTGTGGAATTTTGTGGAATTTTGTGTAATTTTATGAGTGTTATTTTGTTCTTGTGCAATTTTGTGAGTGCAACCAAGTGTGATAAACTGCAGATCTCTTTGATTGTAAGTGTAGCGTGATAAATTCAAAGTGTAGCGTGATAACCTGTAAGTGTAGCGTGGTAGACTGTAAGTGTAGCGTGATAGACTGAAATTGTAGCGTGGTAGACTGTAAGTGTAGCGTGGTAGACTGTAAGTGTAGCATGGTAGACTGTACAGGATAACACGCTACACTTACAGGATAACCCGCTACACTTACAGGATAACCCGCTACACTTACAGATAACCCGCTACACTTATAGTCTAACCCGCTACACTTACAGCATAACACGCTACACTTACGGTCTAACCCGCTACACTTACAGCATAACACGCTACACTTACAGTCTAACACGCTACACTTACAGTCTAACACGCTACACTTATAGGATAACCCGTTACACTTACAGCATAACACGCTACACTTACGGTCTAACCCGCTACACTTACAGCATAACACGCTACACTTACAGTCTAACACGCTACACTTACAGAATAACCCGCTACACTTACAGAATAACCCGCTACACTTACAGTCTAACACGCTACACTTACAGCATAACACGCTACACTTACAGGATAACCCGCTACACTTACAGCATAACGCGCTACACTTACAGGATAACACGCTACACTTATAGCATAATACGCTACACTTACAGTCTAACACGCTACACTTACAGGATAACACGCTACACTTACAGTCTAACACGCTACACTTACAGGATAACCCGCTACACTTACAGTCTAACCCGCTACACTTACAGCATAAAATGTAGTTGTGAGTTTGTAGCATATTTCAGCTTGTGACTGTTTGTGATTGAAAATATATCGTGTTAAGTGTAGAGGAAGTTTTCTAACGTATCTATGATTGTGATTGTAAGTGTAGCGTGTTATCTGTAAATGTAGCGGGTTATCTGTAAGTGTAGCGTGTTACGCTGCAAGTGTAACGGGTTATTTGTAAGTATAACGGATTATCCTGTAAGTGTAGCGTGTTACACTGCAAGTATAGCGGGTTATCCTGTAAGTGTAGCGGGTTAGACTTTAAGTGTAGCGGGTTAGACTTTAAGTGTAGCGGGTTAGACTGTAAGTATAGCGTGTTATGCTATAAGTGTAGCGGGTTAGATCGTAAGTGTAGCGTGTTATGCTGTAAGTGTAGCGGGTTAGACTGTAAGTGTAGCGGGTTATCCTGTAAGTGTAGCGTGTTATCCTGTAAGTATAGCGTGTTATGCTGTAAGTGTAGCGTGTTATCCTGTAAGTGTAGCGTGCTATGCTGTAAGTGTAGCGTGTTATCCTGTAAGTGTAGCGCGTTATGCTGTAAGTGTAGCGGGTTATCCTGTAAGTGTAGCGCGTTATGCTGTAAGTGTAGCGGGTTATTCTGTAAGTGTAGCGGGTTATTCTGTAAGTGTAGCGGGTTATTCTGTAAGTGTAGCGGGTTATTCTGTAAGTGTAGCGGGTTATTCTGTAAGTGTAGCGGGTTATTCTGTAAGTGTAGCGTGTTAGACTGTAAGTGTAGCGTGTTATGCTGTAAGTGTAGCGGGTTATTCTGTAAGTGTAGCGTGTTAGACTGTAAGTGTAGCGTGTTATGCTGTAAGTGTAGCGTGTTAGACTATAAGTGTAGTGTGTTATGCTGTAAGTGTAGCGGGTTATCCTGTAAGTGTAGCGTGTTATCCTGTAAGTGTAGCGTGTTATGCTGTAAGTGTAATGGGTTATCCTATAAGTATAGCGTGTTAGACTGTAAGTGTAGCGTGTTATGCTGTAAGTGTAGCGTGTTAGACTGTAAGTGTAGCGGGTTATTCTGTAAGTGTTGCGGGTTATTCTGTAAGTGTAGCGTGTTAGACTATAAGTGTAGCGTGTTATGCTGTAAGTGTAGCGTGTTAGACTGTAAGTGTAGCGTATTATGCTATAAGTGTAGCGGGTTATTCTGTAAGTGTAGCGTGTTAGACTGTAAGTGTAGCGTGTTATGCTGTAAGTGTAGCGTGTTAGACTGTAAGTGTAGCGTGTTATGCTGTAAGTGTAGCGGGTTAGACTGTAAGTGTAGCGGGTTAGACTGTAAGTGTAGCGGGTTATCCTGTAAGTGTAGCGGGTTATCCTGTAAGTGTAGCGTGTTATCCTGTACAGTCTACCATGCTACACTTACAGTCTACCACGCTACACTTACAGTCTAGCACGCTACAATTTCAGTCTATCACGCTACACTTACAGTCTACCACGCTACACTTACAGGTTATCACGCTACACTTTGAATTTATCACGCTACACTTACAATCAAAGAGATCTGCAGTTTATCACACTTGGTTACACTCACAAAATTGCACAAGAACAAAATAACACTCATAAAATTCCACAAAATTCCACAAAATTTCACAAAATAGCACTCACAAAATTACACAAAATTCCAGCCTTACAAACTCCAAAATTGCACAAACAATAACGATATTGCACTAACAACACTTTCATTATCTACTTTCAAAAACTTACATTCTGAAACAATATGTTACAAATCAAACTCCAAAATTACACAAATCTTCAAAATATACTTAGCATAACTAATCATATATTCAAGGCAAGCTCTAGACTTTTTAAAATGTTACAAATATTCACAAAAAACATAGCATAACTGATCATATATTCAAGGCAAGCTCCAGGCTTTCAAAAATGTTACAAATCTTCAAAATGTACATAATATAACTGATATTATATTCAAGGCAAGCTCCAGACTTTACAAAATGTTACAAATCTTCAAAATTGCACAAATCTTCAAAATGTACATATAGCATAACTGACTCCATTAACTCTACCCAGCAATTTCTCTTTCACAATCTTCAAAGCAAGCTCCATACTCTCCAACTCTTTATAAGCAAAATTTACAGGTACAAAATTCCAGATTCTCCAGATTTCACACCTCTTGCTTTGCAAATCTATTGTGTACAAATTAGATTTAGTTCAACAGAAACGATACATTCATAAATTGATAAAACCAATTCTACAATTAGATTTAGTTCAACAAAAAGGGATAGCACAAAAGAACATCAATGAACTAACCCTAACCCCCCAACCCCGACCCCGACCCTAACCCTAATCGAGTATATAAAAATGACATTTCACACGAAATTACTCCTCCTCGTCATCGAAAGAGATCCCGAAGCCAAAATCATCAAGCATCTTGTTGATCGTTGAAGAATTGTAGTGTCTCGTTGGAGAGGGTGGAGGTGTGTCCGGCTGCCTCGAGATCCGTCGTGGGCCTTTTCAAGACATCAAGCACTAAAATCATGGGCCTTTCTTCCTTTCTTCTTCGATTTCTTGGAGGGGGCATGAGAGGTGGGATCGGAGGAGGAAGACTAAACCTTGAGGAAGGAGGAAGACGAAGACCTGAGGAAGAAGGAAAATGAGGAGAGAGAGAGGGGGTCTGGTTTAAGTGGGGGTATTGAAGGGTATTTTAGGGTTTTTATCATGTTTGGGTATGAATACCAGTGTTGTGTATACAGTATTTTAGAAATTAGGTTTAAAGGCAAAAACAAAAAGAAACTTGGGTTTAAGAATACAAAGAATAGTTATTGGGCTTAGAGGTAAAGATGAGTAAACAAATGGGCCTAGAAATAAAAAACCCTTTTATTTTTCCTACACTGAGAGTTTCTGGACGAATTTACAAATATGC